TGATGGAAAGCCATGGATTCCAGTCCTCAGTGGATGACAAGGGGGAACACTGGAGGGCTAGAAAACTGGGAAAGCAAAGGGCTTCTAGTGTGTGAAAAAAAAAAGTTCTTGGACTTAGTACCAAAGGAGGACTGATCCCACAAGGGTTTCAGACATCAGGTGGGGAAGTGCACACAGTGACAAGTCAAGGAATCGGTGATCACAGTCCCTTTTCTAGCTCTGGCTTCCTCAGTGTCCAGACAAGCTGGGATTCCTGGAACTCAGGATGAGGGTCATGCACATTTCCTGCTTGCTTTCTTTGTAGAATTTTTAGACAGGATCTCACTATACTATCCCGGCTGGCCAGGAAAGCATTATGTAAACCAGGCTGGCCTTGAGCTCACTGAGATCCACATGAAGGCCTCTCCAAGCTGGGCTTGTGCTACCACACCCAGCAGTAGCTGGTTTGTTTGTTTGGTCTCTCCCCCCTCACACACATACACTCCCAGATAGGGTTTCTTTCTGTATCCTTATCTGTCCCTGACTTGCTTTTTATACCAGGTAGGATCTCACAGAGATCCACCTGCCTCTGCCTCCCTGAGTGCTGGGATCACAGATGTGCGCCACCACACAAGGCTCCAGCAGTAGTTCTTACACAGATGAATTCACTGGGCACACACTCTGGGTCAGGCACTTTAATAACTGAAGGCTTTATTTCTGCTGTCTCATTTAATTTGCACAGCAGATCTGTAGAGTATGTTGCTTTATTCTTTTCTTACAGATAGGAGCTATGTAATTTGTCTAGTTCTCAGGAAAAGCCAGGAGTCTAATCAAGTCACCTGACTCCGCAGCTCCCTGAAGCATTACAGAAGATTTCAAGGTCTGAGCAGAAACTCACAGCTCAGACTGGAAGCAGACAAGCTAATGAAAGCCTTTGAAGGGCTTTCTGTCTTGGACCAGGGTAGAGAGTCTGGGATGCAGAATTCTGCTCAACTGGGAAGCAGGTTACTGGGCTAAATATAAAAGATGCAGTACAATTCTGAGCATCCTTGAGGCAGGCTGCACGGGTCCAGAGACTCTAGACAAGACTCCGAGGTCAAGGGTGAGCCTGGTCTGGCCACCCTGTCTTTCTGGCTGTTTTCACACTTAAGGCTGAACAAAAATAATGAGCATCGCTCACACTTCTCCTTGGGAGCCATCACATGTCAGCCCCGTGACATGTAGCAGTGTTTATCAGGGCAAAAGCTCTAAGCTCATTAGCAGGAAAGAGTGCGGAGCTTCAAGCCACCCACACACTTGCCAGAGAAACAAACAGAGCAGCAGCCCCCCTTCCCTGGGCCTAGGCAGGCGGTACCCACCTCATCAACAGCCATGTGCCTCTGCACCAGGCAGATGTGATTGGCAGCAGGGCCCTGGAAGCCAGTTGTGTGGAGGTGTGTGCCAACAACCTGATCAAACTCCTCACTGGATCATGGCTTGAATTCAGGGTCTATTCTGTTCTAGTCTAGAATTTCTCAAGCTTCAGTCATCTCAAACCAGCTTAACAATGTCCTCCATAGCTGTGTGCACAATGTCTCTTTAGGCTGCTGTAAGGAAATATCAACTGTGTGGCTTATAAACAGTGAGATTTGGCAAGGCATGGTGGCATATAATTTAATGCCAGCATTCAGGAGGCAGAGACAGGCAGAGCTCTGTGGGTGCTGGACCAGCTTTGTCTACACAGAGAGTTCTAGGATAGCCAGGGCTCTCTAGAGAGACGCTGTCTCAAAACAAAACAAAACAAAAACACCCACGCAACAATAGAAGCACAGTTCTCACAGCTCTAGAGGTTGGATGTCTGGTAACAAGGGAGCAGCAGATTCGGTGTCTTGTGAGGACTTGATTCCCAGATCACACAGGGAGTCTTCCAGCCTGTCTCACATGACAGGAGAGGTCAGGGACCTCTGTGGGGTCCCCCCAATAAGAACGTTGATCCCACTCACGAAGGTTCTCTTCAGGACCCAATTTCCTCTCAACTGCTCTTCCCTAAGCTCTTCAGAAGGGAGTGGTAGCATTTGGACATGCTAATTTGTAAGGATCCTGGTACCAGCCTGTACTTAGAATCCCTCTGTCCTTGTGGAGTCACCAGGCTTCCTCAGAGGTCCTGAGTTCAATTCCCAGCAACCACATGGTAGTCCACAACCATTTATACTGGGATCTGATACCCTCTTCTGGCATCAGGTGTGCCTGCAAATAGAGCACTCACTCTCATAATAAATAAATCAATCTTAAAAAAGAAAAAAAAAAAAAGAATGGTAAGAGAGGGCTGGGCGTGGTGGTGCATGCCTTCAATCCTAGCACTTGGGAGGGCAGAGGCAGTTGGATCTTGGTGTGTTCAAGGCTAGCCTGGTCTACAAAGTGAGTCCCAGACAGCCAGGGCTCTTGTTATACAGAGAAACCCTGTCTCAAAAACCAAAAGAAAAAAGAAGAAAAGAAAGGTAAGAGAGGAAAATGGCCCCAAAGAGGAGAACCAGGTGTCTTTGGACAGCCACTGTTTAGCCTACTACAACCTGGCTGAATGAAATTGAGGAGTCTCTTGTCAGTAAACCTCCTCTGTATTTATTTTACTCTTATTTATTTACTTACTTACTCACTTATTTAATTTTGGTTTTTTGACAGGGTTTCTCTGTGTAACAGCCCTGGATGCCCTGGACTTGCTCTGTAGACCAGGCTGACCTTGAATTCACGGAGATCCGACTGCCTCTGCTTCCTGAGGTTGGGACTGATATAAAATACAGAACCACCACAGCTGGCTGTATGTTTTGAATAACAATCATGGTCTGACATTTAAAACCTATTCTTTCTGGCTCTAACAGAGTCATCTGGGTGTGACCCCTGAGACACAAATCACACTTGGCCAACAGTTGATGCCAGAGGTTGGGGTATGGCTCAGAGGCAAGTGCTGATCTCAGACTAGGCCCTGGGCTCATCAGTAGTGAGAATGATCGTGGGTTTGGGAAAAGAAGACAGCTCTGAGGGGTCAGAGGGTCTAAATTTTAAATGTGGCTCCAATACAAACAAGCTTGTGACCTTGGCTAAGCCACTATACTCCTTTAAGGGCCTTTCTTCATCTGTCTGAGAGGGACACAAGCCCTTCCTCAGAGGAATGCTCTCAGAATCCCTGTAGCCTGTGTGGCAGATGCTCAACAGGCCTTCAGTCAGCATTTTTTCTTTCCCCTCCATTTATAGACTATGCTTCACTTCCCATGTTTTCCACAGACAGAAATGTTTGATCAACATAAAATTTCACACTGTGAGATGAAACATTCCTTCTATATAGTGGAAACCAGACTCTGTGTTAACTGACTTAGTCAGCACTGCCTAACTAGAGGGCTAGAGACAGTGGGTGGCGAGGACAGGACACATTTATTTATTTGTTTGTTTGTTTATAGATAAGGCCTCAGAGCATACCCTTAGCTCGCCTGAAGTGGCTCTGTAGACACAGGCTGGCCTCAAACTCAGAGAGCCACCCACCCCTCACACCTGGAACAGATAGGCCTTTAGATGGAACAAGTGTGCTTGTCTGACCCTTAACTTAGTTTCATGACCTCATGACCTTTGTAGACATCTTAGTTTATGACGATATGTTCCTGAATCACTGGTTCACACTGCTAGAACTTGATCACAGCGGTTTGAACCTGAAGCCATATTCTTGGGTTCCTTCCTGACAGTGTACTTAACCAGCTTTTCAGTGGCCCCTAACCTTAGAACCCTGCAAGATAGATTCATAATTTGCCCCTTGTAGGCACTATATTTAAACTCTACCTTATTTTGGTTCCTTTTCCCGTCTCTGCCTCAATCCCTTCCAACACCCCAACACCAGGTAGGAGAGAAAGAAGGTTAGTGGGGAGAGGGAACAGAGTTCTCTTTAGTGACTTCCTTCTGGTTGGGGTTGTTGGGTTCTTTGGGACAAGTCCAATCTTCATTTCAGGATATCTCCAGTTTCTTCTCTTCAAACTGCAGCAACAGCAACCAGGAGCAGCAGGAGGGAGGAGCAGCAGGAGAGCAGAGCAGCATTCTTCTTTCCTGGAGTCCCCTAACACTCTGGGCTCTGGCATTTATTCCCTCTCAGTGTCTTCAGGGTTAAACTATCTGCATCTGGCAAAGAGCCCCTCTCAGAGCCTGCATGGGGCAAATAGTTTGCTGCTGTGGACAGTCTGAATCAGTCCCACATCCCACACCTGGGATCAAAACAAAAACATGTTTACATAACATAACTGTGTTTTTGAAGAGACCAAAACTTCCACCACAATCCCCGATTTAACCTGAATAAATTGTTTTGTTTTGTTTTTTCCCTTTCTGGAGTCAGGGATCAATCCTAGGGCCTTATGCATCCTGGGCACAGTGCTCTACCACTGAGCTACAGCCCTAGCCCCTCAGTTCTCAATTCTAACATTCTTATAAGATGCTCTTGAGGCAAAGGCATGCACAGGACTCAACAGAGGGCTGGGTTTTCTGAAGCAGAGCAAAGAGAGCTGCTGATGGAGATGATGGTGCTGTGTGCTTTCAGGGGCCTTCAGGGGGCTCATAATAAAAAGATAGAGTTTTTTTTAACTTTATGTTGCCTGTGACAGTCTCTAGTCTAAGGCGATTCTCCATCCTGCCAGCAGCTGGGACTACACCACTACATCCATCAGAATTTGCTTAAGGACTCTCATGTCAACATATGAAGGATTAGATTATCCTTGCATCCCATTTTGGCTCGCGAACCTCAGGGCAGCTGACCTTGTGCAAGCCATGAGACCCCTCTGTGCTTGATTTCCTCCTCTGTAAAGAGAGTCATCACAGGGGCAGTGTTGAGGCTCAGATCAAATACTGTAGCCCGCTTTCATCGCAGGCTTGACACTCGGCCTTGTCATCACAGAGCCCAGCGTGCCCTAATCACATCACTTCGTGAGCAGTTCTTGTGGACATGCCCTCACTGTCTGGAGAAATCTGATTGCTCCCTGCAGGGTCATGGTATGCGTCTGGGGGTCGGGAGTTTCTGCGTTCCTGTCCTTCTTGTCGAACACGGCCTTATATGTGAGCCATTCCCAATCGTTCCCAAGAGGGTAGAGATGATAAAGTGGCCACCCAGCCGTGGCAGACTGCTGTGCTCAGCCCTCCGCTGCCGCTGTCGCTGCCGCTGCCGCTCCTCAGTGTTCCATCTTTAGGCTCTAGTGGTCCTGGGGCCAGGGAAAGAGAATCCTGAACCAACTAGCCCAAGCAAGAGTAGAGAAGCCTGGTACAGCTGCAGGCTGGGATCTGGCCCCAGCTGCCATGGCAACACTACAAGGCTGCTGGGAAGACATTGTCTTCAGGCCCGGCAGGACTGGGGCCCCGCCCTTTTCCAGCCGAGGCTCCGCCCAGAACCCAAAGGACCTGAAACCTCGCTCTTGACTGGATACAACCGGACGGACCGCCTCCAGCTGACCGGCCAAAGGTGCCATCATTGCCTGATGATTCGAGTGTGTCTGGCTGTCCGACTGAACACTGATTTCATGGGTGCCTGACAGACCAAGACGGTTTGCTCTGTCCATCTTACCACAGTTGACTGACTGCCCTTACGTGGCTGATGGCATCTCTCCTGACAGGAGGCTTTTGTCTGAGGTGACCTAACTGCGGCCGACCAAGCAGAGCCTATCCATGCTTGACAAGCTGCATCTGACCGGTGTCAGCCACCTGTGCCTGCCTGGTGGCAGTTTACCGATTGAGTCCATCTATGCCAGCGGCCTGAGCCACGCCCACCTCAGCTTTATGGGATTGGGTGGGCTGGCCTAGACCACACCTGGATCCGAATGCCCTCACTGGCTCCAGAACTAGACCGGGCTATCCCCTTGAGCCTCTCCACAACACTGGGATGAGTCAGCTGACCAGCCCCTCAGCCCAGTTGGCATGGTTGTTAATTCTGCCTACCTCTGAATGTGCATGTACCTGATGGACAGGGCATTCTGTGTGACTGGGTCTGCCTGATGTACCTCCCTGGCCACCTGTGTCTGACCCAGCTTGATTCACCGACGCCTGCCTGAAGGCCAAGATGGCTGACCACTTTGGCTGATGTCCCATCTGTCCCATAGCCATTTGGTAAGCAACAGTCCAGTCCAACTCTCTGGTCAGCTACATCGGGTTGAGTGGGCTCATGAAATTCCTCTCCATGACTCATGATACCTTTCACCATAGATGTCCATAATGACTTCTGAGTGTTGTTTGTGCAGGGTCTGGAACCTGAGCATTTTCAACTATAAGACTGGGCCTTGGAGGACCCAGAGCAGGTGCACCAACAGGGAAGGGGGCTTAGGAAAAGCCTGAGGTGGAGCAACATCAGGAGTAGGAGTCGAGGCCAGGTGAGAGGCAACAGGAGGAAACAGCAGGGCTGGGGAAGGGACCACCGGGCCTCCGATCTCCTACCTTAGGAATCTAATTCTGTACAAAAGCCAGAATCCGGAGGAGTTGGCTTGGTGTGTGAGTGCCGCCAGTAAGCACGTGACCTTGTGCCTTTTGTTCCTTCAGATTTGTGGGAAATCTGTTTTTCTGCTTTGGGGAAGGAGCATCTGCAGACCTCCCGAATTTAAATCTTCCCGGTCATGTTTGCTTGGGACTGCCAGGCTGGTCCCACGGAAAGGCTTCGTCTCTGGAAGAAAGCTCTCTACTGTAAAAGGGGAGGAAGTACTGGCTAGAGAGGTTTAAGTAAGTGTATTGATTGCACGGGTATGCTATGAATTATATCCATCGCTGTTAATGTTAATAAAACGAGAGCATTGGACAACTGATCTCAGTGGAACTCTAGGCTGGTAAGATGTTGTCTCTCCATTAATAACGGGGCTTGGCTGCCTCATTGACTTCATTATAAGTCAAAGGAGTGATGGGAGGAAATGAACAGCGTCTCTCTAAGGGCTCTCAGAGCATGAATTTGGGTCTCAGCCAGCGTGGGCAGTGGGCTTTCCCAGGGGGCTAGGAAAAGAGGCAGCAACAAATTGGATGGAACATTTCGTACCTCATTTGTTTTTACATTCATTCTGTAAGTATTTATTAAGTTTCACATACTGTCTACATGGAGCGTAGGCTCATGGCTCCAGGAAGCCTTTCCTGTGTGTCTCAACTCTGGTCCCATCAAGGCTACGTGCAGAATACCAGCCATTTGCTTTCTGACCTAAGTGAACAGTTAGAGTGAGAGAGATCTTAGGAAGTGAAGCTATCCAAAGTGGGCTTTGTAGTACCAGGGTCATCTAGGAACTAGTTGAGATGCAGATTCATGCACCCTGCAACAGATGACTGAGAAACCCTCAGGTCTGGCTGCGGTCCTCCCGGGGACACCACCATATGGGAAACACTGGTAGAATGATAAGAGTTTGTCGACTCTGCTTTCAGAGTTCCCAGAATGCCTCTCTTGGGAAGTTCTACGCTACCACATGGGAGCTATGTGACTTTGACCTATCTAGTCGTGGAGTCTTTTTATGGCTTGATTCTCCTTATTTGTGCAATTTGCATAATTACGATTGCTTTAAACTATTGTATTAAGTAATATAAAGAACTTAGCATGTAATTTCTATTCTGGGATTGTATCCTGGAGACATCTTCCTGCATGTGCTGAATAACGTATGCCCAATAACATATTGTCTATAATAGAAAAGAAACACCTACATATCCAACAGTAGAGGTGGCGCACGCTCAGGAGGCAGAGGCAGGCGATCTCTGTGCGTTCAGCACAACCAAGGCTTCACACCCCTTTAATCCCAGCTCTCAGGCCGGTGGATCTCTGAGTTTGGGGCCAACCTGGTCTACAGAGTGAATTCCAGGACAGCCAGGGCTACACAGAGAAACCCTGACTTGAAAAATCAAAAACCAACAATAAAAAAATACTTAGCACCGTGCCTGGCAGGGCCAGGGGTAGCGGTGCTGGCTTTCACACAGTGCAGGACAGATGAGGGCATGCAGAGCAGCCCAGAGTCCCTGGGGATGCAACTGCCCTCCCATCCTCCCTACCTCTTCTTTCACCTGATGTGATCTATGGGTTTTAACATCAGAGACAGAAAGGGCTTTAAGATTCTCTAGTGTAGTCTCTTTATTTTTTTCTTTTTGAGACAAGGTTTCTCTGTGTAATAGCCCTAGCTGTTGTGGACTTACTTGGTAGACCAGGCTGGCCTCAAACTCACAGAGATGCGCCTGCCTCTGCCTCCCTGGTGCCGGGATAAAAGGCATGTGCTACCACGCCCTAAGGTTTCCATGGGTGCTGAGCATTTCCCAATCTTGAACACTTTCTATTTTTAAAGACGAAGAAGCCAAGCCTCAGAGAGAAGGCATAGCCAGCCCCAGGCTTTCCAGAGGAGCAGGGGTCAGTCTGGAGCTCTTTCAGGGCATCCTGTGGTCTCTAAAACTCTGCCTTTACCCCAATGGTTGCTTTGCTCAGGACCCCTCAACTTGGCTCAGACTAGTTGTGGTTTAATTCCCAACCAAACTTTGCAGACTAACTTCCTCTCCTTCCCTAGGCCAATTCTCTACTGTAACCAGAGGGGTGTAGTCTCTGACCAGAAGTGCCTCTGCTCTCCAAGACTGCGTCTCACCTTGCATCCTGCCTGAGATACCTTCCTTCTTCTCGTGCATTCATGGAGACTAAGCTTAAGTCCCACTCTCCTCAAGAAGTATTCCCTGTTTTCTCCAGCTCACAAAACTCCTTCCCATCTCTGAACTAATGCAACACGTTCTTGTAAAACGCTTGCATTTGACAAGGACGGTAGGATGGTGCCTTGGGCAATGGCAAGCGCCAGGCAGAGCCAGTTCCTTATCTCTGGCTCTCCATCTCTGCAGCTCTAAAATCATGCTGATATCCACAGCCATCCTTACTGTCCCTGGGATGTCTCTGAGTGGCCTGCTTCGGGGAGCTGGTCTGCAGAAATGGCTGGGCCTGTTCCTTCCCTGATGTTTACTTGGCCCAGAGGCCTGGCCTGATGAAACCCAGCCCTGTTGCTGAGCACCTTGGGAGGCCTCCTTCCAGAGTCTCTCTGTGCTCAGACAGTGGCCCTTTGTGGAGGAGAGGAGTGGACTGAAAGAGGAAACCTTTCCCTCCCCCTGCCTCCAGCAGCCCTCAGCAGCAGCCCTGGACCATCCTGTGCCTGGGTGGCCTCTGCTCCAAGTTGGAGGCTGGCAGGGTGAGGCAGGGCCTCCATGTAGCCAGGTAGGCAAGGAAGATGAGGAGGGGTCCCACAAGGATGGCCTCGTCAACCAAAGCCTAGGCTAGCTCTCCACAGGCAGTATACTCATTATAGCCTTTCCTAAGAGGACTTCCCCCTACAGGCCAGAGGGACACTCTCATCATCCCTCCCAGAGCTGCAGAGGCTCCCGGGCCTCTGGCTAGGATACAGTTATGCTTTGTCTCTTTTATCCAAACCTGAGGGGTTCCTATACTCAGTAAAGAGATGGCAAATCTCAACACGGAAGGCCAAACCAGGCATGGTGGGAGTCAGAGAAGAGGGGAGACAAGAGTACCAGAAGATCAGGACGGCAGTGTAATAGGGAACGAATATCCCTCACCCAGGTGTGCTGGCACACCTACAGTCTGTGATCTTGTCGCTTGGCAGGTGAAGGCAGAAGTATTGTGAGTTTGGGGCTGGCCTGCATATTAACCCCCCCCCACACACACACACACAGGGCCAGGGAGATGGCCTAGAAAGTAAGATCACCTGCTGAGCAATCCCAGCCTCCCGAGTCCGGAACTTCAGAACCCATGTGAAAAGTCAGATGTGCCCAAACGCGTCTCTGACCCTGCTGTTCCTGCAGTGAGATAAGACACAGACAGCGGAATCCCTCAGGGCTGTCCTGGAGTAGCCACTGAAGGAGCAGAAACAGGAAAGACCCTGCTTCAAAGCAAAGCGACAGGGCAAAACTGCCCCCCCCAAGGGTGTTCTCTGCCTTTGAGTATTCACATACCCACATACCATACACATCACATAGACACACACGTACAGAAACAACAGCCCACGAACAAACAATGAAATCAAGCAAGAAGATGCAGTAGGGGGCAGGATTCCAGTCCCTGCTGAGACACTCTCTGGATGACATTAGCCAGTGGCTTCCCTTTTCTCTGCCTCCGTTTCTCAGTGCAGAATTACAGAGGTAGGGTAGATGACCATCCAGCTTTTTTTGCCCTCCTGATTTCTGCCCTGAGTCTTTGATCACTGAGGACGGGAGGAGCGGGTGGGCTGGCAGCAGATGACTGGCATGCTCACTGTGGATGCTCCAGGGATCTGCCACAGTCGCTAGGCAGCCTCTGCTCGTTGCTGGGGTCCCCTCCCCCCTCAATGCTCCCCTTGCTGCCTTTCCAACCCACTCTGAGGGCTTCTTGTAATGAGGTCTAGGTGCTGTTGGATTTAGATTTGTCTTATTCTATTTTTTGTTTTCACAGAGAGGGACTCTGAAGGACTATGGGTGTCATTGACAGGTCCCTGGTGGAGTGGGGAAAGGAATGGTGTCAGGAAAATTAAGAAGGAATGTGGGATGGAAGAGGAGTAGCTTAGAGAAGAAAGAAAGGAATGGGGAACAGGGAGAGGGAGGGGTGAGGATGAAAGTCCTAAAGAGCCAAGTGTTTTGGTCACAGAATTTAAGAGGCAGAGGCAGGACGATTAGGAATCTAAGGCCAGCCTTGGCTACTGACAGGTTTCAGGCTAGCCTGAGCTAAACAAAATTCTGTCTCAAAAGCAAGAGGGCCTGGGGGTTGAGGATGTCCCAGTTGGCAAAGCACTAGTCTTGCAAGTCTGAGGATCTGAGTCTGACCCGAGGACACGTGTGAAAAAGCCAGGTGCAGTATGTGTTGATTTCCCCAGCACGGGGAGGCTGACAAGAGCTTCCTTGGGAAACAGCGGCTTAGATTCCTTGATATGCTCTCCGCTCATGAGCACGACAGACGCTGTCTCAAAAAAGGGGGTGGGGAGTCCTTGAGGAACAATACCCGAAGGCCTCTGGCCTCCAAACACATGTACACGTGCGTGCACTCAAACACACGACACACACGCACACACGGTTAGAGAGAAGGAGAAGGCCTGGATGGAAGACAGAAATGTGGGAGCACACACATGGCTGTTCCAGGTCTATAAACACTTGAGTTTGGCTGGAGGTAAGTGTGTAGACAAAACTACAACCAGATTGTCTGTAGGAAGTCTGGAATGCATATCTGACAATTTCAAATCTTTTTTTTTTAAATCCCCAGACAGGGTTTTTCTCTGTGTGGCCTTGGCTGTCCTGGACTCAATCTATAGACCAGGCTGGCCTTGAACTCACAGAGATCTGCCTGCCTCTGCCTCTCCTGCTGCAGGGATTACAGTCTTGTGCCACCACACCAGGCTTCAGATCTTATTATTTTATTTTCTTCCGTTCAAATCCAATGATCAAACTTGGTAAAGCCCAGAGGAGCATTTTTATCCATCCCATCATTCAACAAGGCGTGGTGCCCGTCCAGCTCTATACCCAAGAGCAGAACAGAGTCTGTGCCTACGAGGCAGTCAGTAACGCCAAATGCTTGGAGAAAGCCCCTACTGGGACCGTGGCTCAGAGAAGGTAAAGGAGAAGGTTTCCCAAGACAGGTCCTTACAGGATTGTAGGGGAGCCGGGCCTGGTGACTCACACCTTTAATCCCAGCAGTTGGGAGGCACAGGCAGGTGGATCTCTGTGATGTCCAGGCCAGCCAGGGCTACATAGGGAGACCCTGCCTCAAAAAACAACAACAACCAAGAATTATAGGAGATGAGAGGAAACTAGAACAGGTTCTCTGTTATTTTAG